ATGGGCCACAGCATCCACTTACCATCAGGTAGACTGTGCGCTCGTTTAGCACCTTTATTCTATAAAAAAAAGTGGTGCACTTTGGGAGAGGCCTACGTCGTCGAATTGGCAACCGCAGTTTTTATAATTTTGAGTTGTTATCAGATGCCGCTGCCCATTTCAGTTTCCCTCTGTCGCCTCTGACGACACCCAAGGAACAATATAGAGTAGTGGATCACATTGCTATACAAGGTTAAAATAAAACATATTTAAGAGATAAAAAAACACATTACGGCTGCGCTACTGTGTTAAATTAAAATTCGTATATAGATTTTTAGTCATTAAGGAACAATAATTTTATATATTATATTAGTGGAAATAAATACTATTATAAAATCCACATATCCTGAGTACAAGGCTTTTCTTTTTAATTTTATATATTAAGAAAAAGATTTACAAAGAAGTTTGTCGACCAAATTGGCGATATACTAAAAGTGGGCCAAATTAAGAGTATCCTTAACCGACGAGCATGTATGCGTAGGTATATGGATGTGGAAGAGGCGAGAGAGGTATGTCAGGATCGTGCTAAACGGAAGTCTGTATTCTTTGCCTACCCCTCTGGGTGACAGGCGTGAGTGTTTATGTATGTATGTAAGATTTACAAACATTTGTATATATATGTACACTCAACACCGTATCAGAAATTTTACAATAACTAATAAGTAACGAGTTTAAGAGAAAACAGTTACTATCACACAACAACTATTAAAAAGTACATAAAAAAGAATATAGTACGAATAGGACTGTTCTGACATACAATGTTATTCGTGCATTGTAACTTAAATAACCACAGAATGCGCACTAAGCGTGTCAGTACTTCTAAGGTTAACCTTTAGATATAATTGCTTGAGTGACTCGTAACCACAGTTCCCGTCAGCTACTTTATGAAGGAAACAAATATCAGACAACCGCCTACGCTTTTCGAGAGTCGCCATATTAAATTTCAACAATCTGTCTTTAAGGTTTAGAATTCTGTGTGCCAAAGCATCAACTATTAAAAAAAATTGTCATAGGTACTATTCGTAGGAGTTGGAAAGAAGATTTATACTCACATCAATTGTCAATATAGTGAAGCACATACATAATTTTAATCAGTATTGTGCTCATGTGACTGTAATTATATCCACTGCCACTTTAGTCTAGTGTTTGTAGTAGTGCGTCTGCTGATCGTAAGGCCCAGGGTTCGAATTCCGGGTCGGACCAAAAAATTAATTTTTCAATTTTTCCGTCAAGAAATTCTCAGGAGCGGCCTGGAGTCAGGAAGTTGATGGTGTCTCACCCTAGTGCCTCGGAAAGTACGTAAAGCCGTTGGTCCTGCGCCTGATCTCTCTCCGGTCGTGTCCGTTTACCGTTCCATCGGATTATGAGAGTGAGGGAATAGAGAGTGCACCTGTGCTTGCGCATACACTCGGACACTATAATCCTGTCCTGCGCCGATGGCCAGTCTCCGTTGAGGCCAGCCGCCGTGACCGAAATTCTCTGGAGACATTATTATAATTATATCCAAAAGTAATTAACTATGTGCTACAAGTCCTTTACTGCCTACGTGTCCATCTAGATACGTACCACCCTCTCACTAATGGTGAGAATGAGAAGTAATAACAGTGGTACCAAAAGAGTAATATAACTTCCGCTTTATGGTCTTATGGTCCGGCTTGTTACGAACTGAAGGTTATAGAGTACAATTACACGCTGTCGCAGTCGCAAAGACTGACGATCCCGGGATGGTCACTCTTAATAACAAATATAATTGTAGGTAAGGTAACAAGTGTAATTTATTTTTGTAATTTTTTAATCCCAATTAATAAAATACTAACATAGTTTGTAAGGCATTTTTTAACTAACACAATATGGATGTACAAGTTGACCGAAATAAAAGATTTATTATTATTATGTGTGGGGTATCTATATAGTTTTCTCATCTAGTTGGGATGTATAAATATATAATTATAAACGAAAATGAAAGGATAAATATACATAAATATCAATAAAATAAAATAAATACAAAAATACATAAATAAATAAAACCCCAACCAGATGGAAGCCCTCGGCAGGGGAGACCAAACGGCCAAGGGTTAGGAAGAAAGGGAAAGAAACCGGCGGACGATGCGGGCAGTATCAAGGAGCACCGCCTTCTGCATTTGAGCCCGGAGCGGTCCGTCACGGAGTCCCAGTCGCCTCAGATGACCAGAGAGGCTAACTGGGATTAGCCCATTCGCAGAGACGACTACAGGAATAATTTCGGTCGGCAGACCACCCCACATGTCGGTCACCTCGTGAGCCAGGTCCAGATATTTTGATTGCTTATCTGTTTCGGCTCTCACGAGGTTCTCGTCATACGGGATGGTAATATCGACCAAAAATATCCTTGACTGTGCCCGGTCCATCAGCACAATATCAGGCTTATTCGCAAGAATAGTCCTGCCTGTGATGATGGCCCGGTCCCAGTAGAGCCTGGCGCGGTCATTTTCGAGCACGGCTTCCGGCAAGTACTTGTAATACGGCAATTTCCGGTCCACGAGACCGTATTTCAGAGCGAGCTCCTGGTGTAGAATTCTGGCTACTAGGTTGTGCCTGTGCAAGTACTCAGAGTTAGAAAGCGCCGAACAACCGGAGATGACATGCCTAAGTGACTCCCCGGGATGGCGACAAGCTCGACAGACGTCGACGGTGCCATCCTTTAGGATGTATCTCCGATAGTTGTTGGTCTTAATAACCTGATCCTGTATTGCACAGACAAAACCCTCGGTTTCCCCGAAGAGGTCACCGAAACGTAGCCAGTTGAGGGAGGCGACTGTATCTACGAAGGGCTCATGAAGAGCCTTGTAGTACCTCCCGTGGAGCTCCTTCTCCTTCCATACGGTCTCCCGGTCGAAATTGCTAAGCACTGCTGGGCCTACACCCCCCCCCCACCCCCCCCCTCTCCTGCCATTGCTCGTTGGCTAAGGATAGAGGGGTAAGCCCTTTATCACTAGAAATGACGTCATTATAGAATGGATCATCCGATCTCGCCAAGAAGTACTGACGGAGACTGCACACTTCGCGATTATGCATGGTGAGCGCGCTCAGAAAGCCACGCCCACCATACTTTCGCGGCAAGTACAGCCTCATTACCGACGATCTCGGATGATGCATCCTATGGGACGTCACGGTAGTGCGGACTTTTCTATCCAGGGCGTTAAGCTCAGTCTGAGTCCACCTGAGTATGCCAAAGGTATACATGAGGACAGGCATGACCCAGCCGTTATATGCGTGTGTCTTATTCACACCGGACAAAAGGCTGTTAAGCACTTTGGTCAAGCGTGCATAAAACACGTCGCAAACTGACTGTTTCATACCAGCCTCATCGATACCGATGTTCTGTGACATACCCAGGTATCGGTATGTTTCAGCCTCGGAAAGGGTCCTTAAGTTGACGGGCATAGACAAGTCTATGCCCTCAGAGTTAGCAACCCTTCCCCTTTCAACATGGAGGACCGCACACTTATCCGTCCCCAGCTCCATTCCAATGGAACTGCTAAATTCACAAGTGATGTTTAGCAGTTCCATAAGATGGGAGCGACTGGAGGCGAATAACTTGAGGTCATCCATATAGAAAAGGTGGGTCACTTTTGTCCCTCCTTTCCGTAGCTGAAATCCCCCTCCCGGAGCCCTCCAGTAAGGTACTGAGAGGGTTAAGAGAGAGGCAGCACCAGATTGGACTCAGACAATCGCCCTGGAAGATACCCCTTCTTATCCTTATGTGGTTCTCCGCAGCCGTCATCCGCTCGCCCAGATGACAAAGGATCGTACTCCACTGCCCCATACAGTGCTCGAGGAAGTCTCTAACTGTACAGTCAATCTTGTACAGCTCGAGGACCCTCTTTAGCCATGTATGGGGCACCGAGTCGAACGCCTTTCTGTAGTCTATCCAGGCGGCACAGAAGTTCCGACGGTTGCGTTTCGCCACTTTGTCTATGACCGCGTCAATGAGGAGTGGTTCCTTAGTTCCACGACCACCGCCCCGACATCCATTTTGAGCGCGTGACATCACCTGGTTTAGCTCCAGGTGACGAGTGATTCTCGCGCTCAAAATGGATGTCAGTGTCTTATATATGGTGGGTAGACACGTAATGGGGCGGTATTTGCTCGGGTCTGTGGTATCTTGATCTTTAGGAACCAAGCGAGTGATCCCAGTAGTGAAGAGGCTCGGGAGCGACTTCTGGTCGAGAGCCTCTTGAAACTGTCGGGCGAGCACAGCGTGACACACTACGAACCCCTTCAGCCAGTAATGATGCAGCCCGTCGAGCCCCGGACTTTTCCAGTTCGGGGCCCTACGGACCGCCTCAGCCACGTCTTCTGGCGTTATGGTGATGGGGTCCATAGGCGTAACACTCGCACCCTGGCTCGCCACAACTTCCATCCAAGGGCCCTCGCTGTGGTTTACGGGCTCTGACCACAGGCCACGCCAGAATGCGATAATGTCAGCCTGATCCGGTCCTTGGCCCGCTCCACATACCTTTGGTCGCTCCAATAATTTATAGAGCCTCTTCTGATCACTCTGGAAGAGACGATTCTGGTTGAACCGCCTTGACCTCTCGGAAAATCGTCGAATCCGCTTCCCCCAAGCAGCGATCTTTTGCTTCAGGTCGTCTATGCGCTCCGTTAGTTTCTGCGTGATATCCGGCTGGGACAAACTGATATTTGTCCCAGCAAACGCCATCCTAACGGTGCGCATAATCCTCGGTCTATTATTACCCGACCTGAAGCTTGTCAGTCTGCCGATAAGGGCCCTTGCCTTTGCGATACGGTCCTCGATTCTTTTCCTCCAGGCTGGGATGGCGTTACTTTGTGTAGTAGCGCGTCCAGCCATGGGAAGTTTGGCGCCAATAATACGGCAAACTGCCACTGCGGCGCCAAATAGAATCGAGTCCGTCTCGCAAAGGTCCCGGCTGGCTTCCAAATAGGTCACCAGCATTGGGTTAAGAGCCCTCACGACAGCCCGATTTCGCTTGCTTAAGGGTATGCGGGGGAAGTCGCGGTCGATTTTCGAGAGGGGTGCTGCGCGTTTCCAAAATCGCCTCTTCCAATATACTCCTCATTTGCTCTAGTTCGTGGGAGACTATTTCATCGTCGTTCGAATCAACCACAACTGGAAGATCCATGGCGGCTTCCACGTGTGGATGCTGGTCTGTCGAATGTGGAGCTGCATCTCCAGCCATAGACGATTCATTCGACGACGGAATAGCCTCACGTCGTAGTCGTTCGAGGTCGGCATCATCAAATATTTTCGAGCGCATGATGTACCGAACTCGGTCTGCCAGGTTTTGTTCCGTGACGGGGATAGACGGCTCCAGCTCAGCAAAAAAGCAATGCATCCGAGACCTATACGCTATTCCCACAGTTTCTTCCCCTTTCGCCCTATAGTACGCCCGCAATGCGTTTTCGTTCATGGATTTTGTCCAACGCATGCGACGTGCTCCACCAGCGGCGGGTGCCGCTTGCTGGGTCCGAGAAGACCCAGCCGACACCAAGCCTTCTGGTGGGGATGATGGATGCGAGGGGCTGCTAGGTGATCGTGCAGCTCCTCACGCTCGGCTGGCGGCCCGCATGCTGCCGCGTCCAGCGCCAGCTCCAGACGCGCCCCGGCGACCCCCAGGCAGCGGCCCTATGCGCGTTCCTTTCTGTGTTTCTTCCATCATCCATTTTATGGGCGCCAAATAACGGGAGACGCCCAAGCCCGGCACCGTTTCGTGGTTGGGTCATATGCACAAACGGACCTTTGCACCTACAATTTTGCCTAGGCACGGCGCTCACACCTCTTGGCAGGATGCTGACTGACTGCGCCGACGTCGCAGTTTTGTCACATAACTGTTACGTCAGCGGGCGATGGGGTCGTCACTTCCCTACGCCTTTATTATTATTATTATTTACGGTAAGTGTTTTCACTTCTCAGCTCTAGGCTGGATTTCAACTACATTTACGGGCCGAAGCCAAAGCAAATGCAGCGTGTGGTGTGTAGTGTAGTTCATGTGATTTGATGAGGTCCTATTTCGTTTTCTTCTATCTGCATGAATTTCCTAACTATTCTGCATGTATTTAATATAGCTGCTTTTTGAAGTGTAATATATAGAGTTTCTTTTAGTTGTAATAATTTTAAGCTACGGAGTAGATGATTTGGGATGACACCTGTTGTGGAGAGGACTATAGGGACCACATATACTTTTTCTTGTTGCCAGATTCTAGTCACTTCATCTTTAAGTTCTGCGTACTTACAAATTTTTTCAGTTATCATCTTCTGCAAGTTGTGTGTGTTGGGGACTGCAATGTCTATCAGGTAAGTAATATTATTTATTTTATCTTGTAGAATTATATCTGGTCGGTTATAGTGGATTGTCCTATCGGTGAGAATGCCGCGGTCGTAAAAAAGTTTATGTGTGGTGTTTTCTAGAGTATGTTTTGGTCTATAATTGTAGTACGGAGTGTTGGCATCTGGAATGAGTGCGTGTTTGAGTGCTAGTTTTTGATGAATGACATTGGCCACCTGGTTGTGTCTGTGAGTGTAGTCAGTCTGTGTGAGAGTTGTGCATGCGCCTGTGATGTGTTGAATGGTTTCTGGATGTGTGTGGCATTTGCGACATTTGTCATTATTTACTGTAGGATCTTTGATTATATATTTTCTGTAATTTTTTGTGTTTATGATCTGGTCTTGAATAGCTATTATAAATCCTTCTGTTTCTGGAAATAAGTTGCCTATTTTCAGCCACTTATTTGAAGCTAACTTATTTATGTGGGATTGCTCTAAGTCATGAGGGTGCCGACCGTGGAGAACTTTCTTCTTCCATTCGTCAATTTTGTGTGTCTGTGGGTTATCACTAGTAGTGTTTTGGGATTCAATCTGATTGCTTAAGTTAAGTGGAGTGTAGTTAATATCATTCGTTACGATGGCTTTATGAATATTGCTAGTATGGGATTTTGTATAGAAGAATGATTTTAATCGACTAACTTGTTTCCGCCATAGGTGCTGGATATCCATTAGGCCTCTCCCTCCATGTTCTCGTTTTATTGTTAGTCTCTCTATGGCGGATTTAGGGTGTAGGTTATTGTGTTTCGTGAGTGTTGTACGTGTAGTTCGCTCTAATTGTTCTGCATCAGTTTTGGACCATTTTATAACTCCGAATGAGTACGTTAATATGGGGATGGCATAGGTGTTAATGGCTTTGATGAGATGTTTACTTGAAAGTTGAGTTTTACAAACGGCGTTAAGTCTTCTCTTGTATTCCGTAGTGAGAGAATTTTTAATTCGTACGTGGTCAAGACTTTTAAGTTGGACATACCCTAAATATTTGTATAAGTCAGTCGATTCCATTGCTGTAATAGCCTCCGTTTCATTTACCACATAGTCGCCGGGCCTTACTTTGCCTCTTACAATGTGAAGTGTTTTACATTTATCTAAACCAAAATTCATATTAATATCGCTACTGAATTCTGTTGTTATATCTATTAATTTCTTCATATCCTTGTCTGTTTTTGCATATAATTTGATGTCGTCCATGTATATAAGATGCGATATTGTTGTTTCGTCTGTATTAAGTTTGAGGCAATATCCGGCCCCGCAGCTCTGCAGCAAATGAGACAGAGGGTTTAGGGCGAGACAGAACCACAGTGGGCTCAGGGAGTCACCTTGGTAGATGCCTTTTGTGATTGAGATTTGTCGCGTGGTGACAGTATTTTGGTTACAATTTATTTGTAGTGTTGTTTTCCATTGTAACATTATTCGGCGTAAGAAATCGATTATTTTCGGATTTATTCTATAAATTTCTAATATTTTTAATAACCATGAATGAGGAACACTGTCAAACGCTTTTTTATAATCAATATAGGTGCAATGTAAATTTCTATTTTTAGAGGTGGCGTGTTTATGAATAGTGGAATCAATTATCAGCTGTTCTTTACATCCCATGTGGCCCTGTCTACATCCCTTCTGTTCTTCTGCTATTATATTGTGGTGTTCAATGTGCGACTGAATTTTCTTTGTGATTGCAGATGTCAATATTTTGTAAATTGTGGGTAGGCATGTAATTGGTCGGTATTGGGAAGGCTGAGGTGAATTTTTTGTTTTAGGTAGCATATAAGTAATTCCTGTTGCAATAAATTCGGGAGTGTTCTGTTGTCCTGTTATTATATCTGTTAAATTTCTTGCTAAAGGTTTGTGTAGAGACGTTAATTTTTTGTACCAAAAATTATGAATTTTGTCTATACCAGGTGATTTCCAATTATGTAACCTAGCTGTAATGAGTGTTATGTCTAACTCTGTTACCTCTTCGAATTCCATTTCGTCAATATCTCTCCATTTTGCTTCCTCTTCAATTATCCAAGATGCTTTGTCGTTATGTTGTTTTTGCTCTTCCCAAATACTCGCCCAATATGCTTCTAGTTGTTCTTTTGTAGGTAGGTTAGGTGTATGTGTGTTACGTTCATCGATTATGTCTGTTTGTGGTTTGTGTAAGTTTCTATAAAACAATTTTTCGTTTGTGGCAAATCTGACGTTATCTTTTTTGCGCTGTTGTGCTTTTTTATACCTTTTGAGCCTATGAACTTTAAGTGCTAATTTTTGTTTTAACGTGTCTAAAAATTCTTCAGGTCTTGTGTTACTTTTTTCGTGTCTGGTATGCGTAGCATTATTCCTAAATATGACCTCTACTTTTTTGACTAGTTTATTAGATCTACAACCGTTAATATACTGAGTGAGTCTACCTATGTTTGCTCTTAATTTTTCAATGTCTTTTTCTAGTCTCTGTTGCCATGCTGGTTCTGTATTTTGTCTTGTTCTTGTAGTTCTTGCATTGTCTGTGATTTTAAAGTTCAATTCTTCGGATATTACTATCGCTGTGCAGTATATAAGTAAATGTAAGTCTATAAGTTGTGTGTCATCAGATATATATTGTGTGAGTATAGTTTCATTAAATAAATTAACCAGTCGAAACAGGTTAGGTGTGTACTTAAGTTTAGGTAATCTTGGTCGCGCTGCGGGATCCATCCCAGAGTATAACGTTATTGTTGTTCTAAATTTCTCATTGATTTCTTGGATATATGTATCTGTTGTTAAGTGTTGATCTGGGACAACTATGGTCTCAATATCATTTTCTAGCGTTAGGATTACGGTTTCGGTTTGTGTGGATGTGTGTGATATTTGTGAATGGTCGCATGGCTGAGATTGTGTATAAATGAGTTGTGATTGACTGAGCAATTGTGGTTGTACTTGGCGATCATTTTCACTTGTGTTTTGTGTGATATTAGTTTCTACATAGCTGTTAGTCGCTTCTTCTTGAATTAATTGTGTTCGTACTTCTTCTTTTAATTGATCTATAACTTCTTGGGATAGAAGTTTATTCCTAACTATGGTTCTTCTTTGGTCTGAGATTCTTTGTTCTGAAACAGTAATTTCTGGATATTGTCGAGTGAAATGTGCGTATAATTGTTGTCTGTACGTGGTCATATCGGTCTCTAATTTAGTAATGTATAGATAAGTTCTCATGATAAATAGATTTACTTCTTTACTCCATTTCATTCGAACTCTTGCTTTTCCAGCCTTGGTGGACGCGGGTAAGAAGGTAGATACCTCCCGCGCAGCACTCAAGGTCGGAGTAGGTGAAACTGTATTTAAACTAGTAATAGGGGGTGATGGAGGTGTTGGTGTCGATGGTGTGTATGATACTGTGCTTGGACTATATGGTTCTACAGGGGTGTCTGTCCTGTCCGTCAGTCTGTCACCATCGTCAATGAGTTCGGCTGTAGTATCTTTGTGGGTGGGAGCCCGCCTGTTCAACTCCTCACCGCTGACGGATCGCATGCTGTGACACCCAGCGTCAGCTCCAGGTGCACCCCGGCGATCGCCCCCGGGTAGCGGCCCTATACGTTTACTTTTAGAACGAGTCTCCATTTTATTTATGGGTTTCCAGAGCCACGTTAGCCACGCCAGTAATTTCTCATTCGTGTGTCCGCCCCCCACGTGATTAGATGGTCAATCAGGACGTGTGGTTGTTTAGGGGGCTTATTATTATTATCTATATAGTTTTCTCATCTGGTTGGGTTCTATAAATATATAATTATAAATGAAAATGAAAAGATAAATATACATAAATATCAATAACATAAAATAAATATAAAAATACATAAATAAATAAAAGCCCAACCAGATGGAGGCCCTCGGCAGGGGAGACCAAACGGCCGAGGGTTAGGGGGAAAGGGAAAGAAACCGGCGGACGATGCGGGCGGTATCGAGGAGCACCGCCTTCTGCATTTGAGCCCGGAGCGGTCCGCCACGTAGTCCCAGCCGCCTCAGATGACCCGAGAGGCTGACTGGGATTAGCCCGTTTGCAGAGACGACTACAGGAATAATTTCGGTCGGCAGACCACCCCACATGTCAGTCACCTCGTGAGCCAGGTCCAGATATTTTGTTTGCTTGTCTGTTTCGGCTTTCACGAGGTTCTCGTCATACGGAATGGTAATGTCGACCAAAAATATCCTTGACTGTGCCCGGTCCATCAGCACAATATCAGGCTTATTCGCAAGAATAGTCCTGTCTGTGATGATGGCCCGGTCCCAATAGAGCCTGGCGCGATCATTTTCGAGCACGGCTTCCGGCAAGTACTTATAATACGGCAATTTCCGATCCACGAGACCGTATTTCAGAGCGAGCTCCTGGTGTAGAATTCTGGCTACTAGGTTGTGCCTGTGCAAGTACTCAGAGTTAGAAAGCGCCGAACAACCGGAGATAACATGCCTAAGTGACTCACCGGGATGGCGACAAGCTCGACAGATGTCGACGGTGCCATCCTTTAGGATGTATCTCCGATAGTTGTTGGTCTTAATAACCTGATCCTGTATCGCACAGACAAAACCCTCGGTTTCCCCGAAGAGATCACCAAAGCGTAGCCAGTGGAGGGAGGCTACTGTGTCTACGAAAGGCTCATGTAGAGCCTTGTAGAACCTCCCGTGGAGCTCCTTCTCCTTCCATACGGTCTCCCGGTCGGAAATGCTCTGCACTGCCGGGTCTTGCCATTGCTCGTTGGCTAAGGATAGAGGGGTAAGTCCTTTATCACAAGAAATGACGTCCATATAGAATGGATCATCCGATCTCGCCAGGAAGTAATCACGGAGGCTGCACACTTCGCGATTATGCATGGTGAGCGCGCTCAAGAAGCCACGACCACCATGCTTCCGCGACAAGTACAACCTCATTACCGACGATCTCGGATGATGCATCCTATGGGACGTCATGGTAGTGCGGACTTTTCTATCCAGGGCGTTAAGTTCAGTCTGAGTCCACCTGAGTATGCCAAAGGTATACATGAGGACAGGCATGACCCAGCCGTTATATGCGTGTGCCTTATTCACACCGGACAAAAGGCTGTTAAGCACTTTGGTCAAGCGTGCATAAAACACGTCGCAAACTGACTGTTTCATACCAGTCTCATCGATACCGATGTTTTGTGACATACCCAGGTATCGGTATGTTTCAGCCTCGGAAAGGGTCCTTAAGTTGACGGGCATAGATAAGTCTACGCCCTCAGAGTTAGCAACCCTTCCCCTTTCAACATGGAGGACCGCACACTTATCCGTCCCAAGCTCCATTCCAATGGAATTGCTAAATTCACAAGTGATGTTTAGCAATTCCATAAGATGGGAGCGACTGGAGGCGAATAACTTGAGGTCATCCATATAGAAAAGGTGGGTCACTTTTGTCCCTCCTCTCCGTAGCTGAAATCCCCTCCCGGAGCCCTCCAGTAAGGTACTGAGAGGGTTCAGAGAGAGGCAGAACCAGATTGGACTCAGACAATCGCCCTGGAAGATACCCCTTCTTATCCTTATGTGGTTCTCCGCAGCCATCATCCGCTCGCCCAGATGACAAAGGATCGTACTCCACTGCCCCATACACTGCTCAAGGAAGTCTCTAACTGTACAGTCTATCTTGTACAGCTCGAGGACTCTCTTTAGCCATGTATGGGGCACCGAGTCGAATGCCTTTCTGTAGTCTATCCAGGCGGCGGAGAAGTTCCGACGGTTGCGTTTCACCACTTTGCCAATGACCGCGTCAATGAGGAGTGGTTCCTTGGTTCCACGACCACCGCCCCGACATCCATTTTGAGCGCGCGACATCACCTGATTTGAGTCCAGGTGACAAGTGATTCTCGCGCTCAAAATGGATGTTAGTGTCTTGTATATGGTCGGTAGACACGTGATGGGGCGGTATTTGCTCGGGTCTGTGGTACCCTGGTCTTTAGGAACCAAATGAGTGATCCCAGTAGTGAAGAGGCTTGGGAGCGACTTCTGGTTGAGAGCCTCTTGAAACTGTCGGGCAAGCACAGAGTGACACACCATGAACCCCTTCAGCCAGTAGTGATGCAGCCCGTCAAGCCCCGGACTTTTCCAGTTCGGGGCCCTACGGACCGCCTCAGCTACGTCATCCGGCGTTATGATGACGGGGTCCATGGGCGTAATACCCGCACACTGACTCGCCACAACTTCCGTCCAAGGGCCCTCGCTGTGGTTTACGGGCTCTGACCACAGGCCGCGCCAGAATGCTACAGTGTCGGCCTGATTCGGTGCTGGACCCGTTCCACTTACCATTGGTCGCTCCAATGATTCATAGAGCCTCTTCTGATCACTCTGGAAGAGACGATTCTGGTTGAACCGTGTCGACCTCTCGGTATATCGCCGAATCCGTTTTCCCCAAGCAGCGATTCTCTGCTTCAGATCATCTATGGCCGTATGCGTTATATCCGGCTGGGACAAACTGACATTTGTCCCAGCAAACGCCATCCTGACGGTGCGCACAATTCTTGGCCTGTTGTTGCCTGATCTGAAGCATATCAGTCTGCCGATGAGAGCTCTAGCCCTTGCGATACGTTCCTCAATTCTTCTTCTCCATGCTGGGATAGCGCTACTATGGCCAGTAGCGCGTCCAGCCGTGGAAACCTTGGCGCCTATGATACGGCAGACTGCCAGCGCGGCGCCAAAAAGAATTGAGTCCGTCTCGCAAAGGTCCCGGCTGGCTTCCAAATAGGTCACCAGCATTGGGTGCAGAGCCCTCACGACAGCCCGATTCCGCTTGCTTAGGGCTATGCGGGGAAGTCGCGGTCGATTTTCGAGAGGCGTACTGCGCGTTTCCACAATCGCCTCTTCCAATGTACTCCTCATATGCTCTAATTCCAGTTCCTGGGCGACTGTTCCATCATCGTTTGAATCAACCACAACTGGGGTATTCACGGCGGCATCCACGTTTGCGGGTTGCTCTACCATTTGTGGCGCCGCATCCTCAGCCGTAGCATTCTCATCCGATGAGGGAACAGCCTCACGTCGTAGCCGTTCGAGTTCGGCGACATCAAATATATTTGAGCTCAAGATATACCGAACTCGGTCTGCCAGGTTTTGCTCTGTGACGGTTAAAGACGGCTCCAGCTCAGCAAAAAGACGATGCATCCTAGCCCGATACGCCAAACATCCAGTTTCTCCCCCTTTCGCCCCAAAATACGCCCGCAATGCGTTGCTGTTCATCTGGGTTGTCCAACGCATGCGGCGTACTCCACCAGAGGCGGGTGCCGATTGCTGGGCCCGCGAAGACCCTGCCGACACCAAGCCAGCTGGTGGGGATGATGGATGCGAGGGGCTGCTGGGTGGTCGTGCAGCACCTCGCGCTCGGCTGGCGGTTCGCATGCTGCCGCGTCCAGCGCCAGCTCCAGACGCGCCCTGGCGACCTCCAGGCAGCGGCCCTTTGCGCGTTCTTCCGTATTCCATCATCCATAGTGGTGGGCGTCATTTAGCGGGAGACGCCCAGACCCGGCGCCGTTTCATGGTGAGGCCATGTGCACAAGCGGGCCTTTGCACCTTCAATTTTTGCCGAGGCACGGCACTAACACCTCTTGGCAAGGTGCTGACTGACTGCGCTGACGTAGCGGTTTTGTCACATAACCGTTACGTCAGCGGGCGATGGGGTCGTCACTTCCCTACGCCTTATTATTATTATTATTATTATTATTATTATTATTATTATTCTTTTTTTCTTTCTCAAGATTTTGTAAAATCTTGGTTTTTAAGAGATGTTCACGGGCCTAAGCCAAGTGCGCATCCATTTGGGAATCAAAATCCGAGATGTCTTCTTGCAAAAATTTTCGGACTATACGGCACGTGTTGAGGATGGCTGATTTTTACATAGTAATGTAACTATTTTCAGGATGATCTAATTATTACTATATTCTTATTTGAGGCCTCCCATCTCGGTCCTCAGATGTGACAACGCACCTGTAGGACTGCAACAGCAACCACTAACCATTGGATGGGTTGTAATTTCGTTTATCACTTCAGTTTCATTTAAAGAACAAGTGGCCGCTTCGGGTGTCTTTGAAAAAGTCGTTCGCAAGTACCTTACGAAGGAAAGATGAAAGAGAAAATTGGAGGAAGTCCATCCAATTGTGCAGATGAAAAAGGACTTCGTTTTGCATTCTGTGGGGAAGGCCTCTATTCAGTAGTGGACTTGAGAAGAGCTGTAACGATAATGATAATGACGCTTGTTAAATACTGGATGACCTTTTTTACCGTCTGGAAAAAACTAGGGTGTAACATGTGAACGGAGTAAAAGCCTATGGCACTATATTATTCGAGGAATCGAGCCATTCTATCTTAGTCCTCAGGGATGGCAACGCATTTCCATTTTTATTCTTAATTGAGGATAAATATGGATGTCTAAGGGCCAAAGCATCCACTTACCATCAGGTGGACTGTGTGCTCGTTTGTCACCCAATGCTATAAAGAAATATATCAACCATCATTATCATCATCTTTAGAGCTCTTCTCATGTGGACTTGAATACTGAATAGAGGCTTCCACCATAAATGCAAAACAAAGTCCTTTTCCACCTGCATCCATCGACTTCCTACATGCCTTGTCAAGTCATCACTACATCAAGTAGGGGTCATGTAAATAGGGGTCATGTAGAGTAGGGGTCATGTAGAGTAGGGGTCATGTAGAGTAGGGGTCATGTAGAGTAGGGGTCATGTAGAGTAGGGGTCGTAGGATCATGTAGAGCAAATTCGTATATAATTATAATTATTTCCTATCTAAAGATGCTTTTTCGGAAAAAGAGCAAAAAGAGCATCTCAATCACTGATCCCATGCTAGATTTTTTCACATCGAATCCTAAAAACGATTTCTTCCGCTGTACCGCAACTAAAACCGAATCAAGCATTCACCACGCTCATGAACTATAAATTATTCGTCGACAGTAGCAAAATAATGGGAGTGTTTGTGTGAATTGTAAAATGAGACCGGTACGAGACCATTGTCGACAGCGCCCGGCATTAATCACTCAGTGCCGGCCGCTTGTCAGCGTTGCACTGACACGTCGTCGGATTTTCGACGTGGACACGGCTTATTTACTGACACTAGATAGATGGGTCCCCATATTAACGTTCGCTCTTGTAATGAACGCATGAACAATGCTTTGGGGAGATTATTTTAGCTACGAAATATTTTGAAGTAGTTTTTATGAATCATATACTGTTTGTTATATGTCACATCTCTAATGTATAGTCTATGGTTATAGTTTTTACTAGGACTACGACGACGCTACTAACTGTTATAGTTAACTTAAGTTACGGCCTACAGCTCCTGGGCACAGGCATCCTCTCATTATTGAGAAGCTATCAAATTTTACGTGGTAGCCATGTTGCAACTATGCTATGGTTGCAGAACAAATGGGTCAGATCGATCGCGGACCATCCCTTCACAGAGGACCAGCGTGTAATAAAATACGAAATGGTTAGAGTAATGAACGGAGATCCTTTCTACAGTAAACGAGGCATTGTGTCTTAGTCCTCAGAGAGACAACCCGAATTGATTCTTAATCGAGAATAGCCACAGCATCCCCTTACCATCAGGTGAACTGTGTGCTCGTTTGTTACCCTTCTTCTATAAATGATATATTTTAGATTCATTACAAAAAAAATATAATTTAAATAATGTTAAATATAACGACACCTGATAACTTCACATTTAAAAATTCACCAAGCCGTTGTCTTACGCATGTGCCGTCAAAAAACAGAAATACATACATGATATAATAAATACACTTACCCACATCCTCCAAAACACAAACATGAAAAGGCCAGCTATGAAAATACAAGCTTAAATCTTCTTTCATCTTTATTTACTGTTTTATTTATTTTATTCTTTAAAGGAACACATAATAGTCTACTAGATGATAAATTGATGCTGTGTGCCCATAGTACAATTTTTTTTTTGATATAAGAGGGGGCAAACGAGCATGCGATTTACCTGATTGTAAGTGACTACCGCTGCCCGGCTCGGAGACGTAGACTCTTTTCTTAAAGATCCATAAGTCATGTAATCGGTAAATTGGGTTATAATAATAATAACAATGACCTACGTCCAGTACTATTATTTATTCTGTGCACGGGCACTCTTATATGTCTAATCGAGACACGTAAATCTATTCTCATCCTCAATTGATAATACAATATCTTTTATTCCTTTTTTAAAATAATGTCGCTAACAGTTTTAAACGACGTTCATTATAGTCACCAGTAACTCATAATTCCACGTTTCCCAAGCCGAGCTGACACTTGTGACAGCCGGCTTTTGGAGTGTCATTGTAATTCCGCTCAACGCTTCAAGTGGGCTTTTTTAAAATTGACATGTTTTATATGCGAGGTCACGTGTGGTGTTCATTGAGCAGGATACAGTGGACCATCGCGTCAGCTCCTACGTACTGTTGACAGCAAATGTATGTTAAAAGTTGTGTATTTTTTTTAATTAATGAACGGCTTGTTGCTTTATATTCTGTTAGCTAGCCCGGCGACGTTATTCTTCCGGTACGTGAAATGAGTTTCATTCCGAATTCACTTCGTATCTTTTACAATTTAAATAATGATTATAATGTCCTCCAGAATTTCGGTCACGACGGCCAGTCTCCACGTAGACTAGCCATTTGCGTAGGACAGGATCTTATAGCCCGACGAGTATATACAAAAGCACAGGTATTCCCTCTCAATCTCATTGTCCAATGGGACACGACCGGAGAGAGATCAGGCGAAGGAACATTGGCTTTTAGTACTTTACGAGGCTCCGTGGTGAAACATTAACAACTTCCTGACTCTGGGCTGCTACTGTAAATTTGTTGTTAGATAAACACAATAACTGATTGGGTCCCGATCTGGGATTCGATGTAGATATAAAATTTGATTCAAATTTTTAAATTTATTATTATGTCCACTGTAGTTGTGTAGTTACCTATTGGATCCTGAATTGCGATTTTTTGATATTAAACAATACGTATATGTATATGTCGTACATATTATTGTAAATGTGAGTAATTTTGGTACATACATATAGAACGTATCGGAAGACAAATATATAGTTTATGTGTTTATGGTTCTATGGCCAAATGTTCAAAGTTTGTCAATCAATAAGCTTAAAAGATTTGTTGAAGAGAAATTGTACAAAAACGGTTTGTACGTGGTAACTCCATGCTGCGTCTATATTATTGTTGTAGCACGAATAGTTTGTGACGAATAGTCATTCCACCGGGGGCCCATACTCTCAAAGAATACCAGCGTAAAATAGTAGCTTAGTGCTGCTGTGTTTCGTATGATGAGTGTAGAGAACCGGACACCCTTTTTACTGAATACGAGGTATTCCATCTTAGTCCTCAGGGGTGACCACGCATCTGCATTTTGATTCTTAGTCGAGGATAGATATAGATGTCCTTAGGCCACAGCATCCACTTACCATCATGTAGGCTATGTGCTCACTTGTCTTATTCTATAAAAAAATATTATAATAGCAAGGAATACATTAATGAAAATAACGTCTGGGAATGAGGTGATCGCCACCACACTGGTTCTATTAAAATCCATATAATAATTATACAAAACTTTTGTAAAGTTTGATATGTTTAAAAAAATATAATCCTGCTGGGTTTTCTGCTGGTTCTTCCCCGGACAGAGGTATTTACCAAATCAGTGGTAAGTAAAAAATGACTTTAAATAAGTATTATGTAATAACTAATAATCTAAATTGAATAAATGTCAATCAATTCAAATCCATTAAATTGAATGACATTTCATAGTTGAAGGAATAGTAAAAATCTACAGCAAAAAGTTCTACACTCACCATACGAAACACAACAGCATTAAGCTGCTACTTTTACGTTGATATTCTATGAGACCGTGGTCCTATCCCGATCGAGCCGACCCATTCGTGCTACAATCATAATATAGCTACGGCGTGGCTCTACCACGTACACTCTCTCTCACTACAATCCATGAGGGAGGTCTTTGTTCAGCAGTGGACTTTTATAGGCTGTAATAGACAGATTTATGCATAAATAATGAAACATGGTGGTTGGAATTAATTCGAACTGCTTCTCCTAACAAGCCGTAAGTTCGTCTTAGCATGGCAGTTATTACCGTTATTTATTTAAGCACCACAAAAGCGTAACGTATACCATGTAATTATTATTCATTTAAACGTCAAAACTGACGTGAGAACACAACGCGTACGAGTCGAGATCATTTTTCTCTCTTTGTTGTTACTTCGCTGAGTCATGCCCTTTACAAGTCTCATAGGTTGGCCCATAAATAATTTATTGTGCGCCGCCGACCGATTTACATAATAGACAGGAGGGCTTTTGGTTATTGATGATCTTTGTTTTGAACTGCTCGTGTTTTACAAAAGCTTCTTAATGGGAACTTTGCTCCGTATCCGTACGTATCGCGACTACA